TATCTGAATTCTCAAGTTAAAGATAAAGTTGAAACGATTTAAATTGTATTTTACATAAATCTTCTCTACGAGAAGATGTTGAACTTGTGCCAGCAAAATTATCACTTCATTTGAGATACTCCTCAAACAAATTTTTCATCTTCAGTTCTATATGTAAAATTGTTTTTAAGCCAAAGTTGATTTTATTAAAAACAAAAGAGGTTCAATATTTAGAGCCCGTTTGGATTGACTTAAAAAAGTAGCTTTTAAATCAAAAATAAAAAGTCAAACTGAAATGACTTTTAAGTCAAAATAAAAAGTAGGGGGAGACCTACTTTTGGTTTCTAACTTATTTTAAGTCATTTTTACCTTGCCAAACACTTCATAACTTATTCTAAGTCATTTTTGACTTATTTTAAGTTATTTTTTATATTTGTCAATCACTTCCAAAAGTAAAAAACTGACTTAAAAGTAGGTTTGACCGACTTTTAAGCCAATCCAAACGGGCTCTTACAAGGGAATAAGCCTAAAAGTAGCCCATCCCAGAAAAAAGGAAAAGGAAACAAATCAATCAAAAGAAAACAGAAAAGGAAACAAATCAATCAAAAGAAAACAGAAAAGGAAAGGTCACAAAGCTCTAGACCATTTCCAATACAACCTTGGATGACTCCAAGCTGCTCCATGGTCGGAGAAATCAACCTCTCAATTGAAGGTAGCAGTGAGAAGAGGATAGGAGATAGTTCAAATGCCTCCAATATATCGACATAAATTTAAATGGATTCGAGTTTGGACAAATTTCACAGAAGAAACTCAAAAACTCTCACAAGTGCCATGAAATTAGGTCCTTTGAAAACTTCTTCAACTCGGATCGATCAGATCTGTACCACAAACTGAAGTTAAGTGAGCAAAGCTTCCTCCTATTTCATCTTTGTGCACTGTTATACTTCGATTTAATTCATCCATGAACTTCTCTACAGGTTGAGCCCTAAAGAGGCTGATACCACTGCATAAGGAGGCAACATATGGATTCTATCTCCGCATAAACAATATATTGTAATTACATCCACTTATGCAAGTATGCTGGTACTGTCATCACCTTTTGATATTTCTTTGTCATTTATGTCGGGTTTTTCTTGTTTGTCTCAATTATGTTTGTGTAATGAAAAACATGTTTTGGATGTTTCTAATTCTAAGATTGGAAATTTGTGTTTTATCTAGGTGTAATATTGCTTTCCCTTTTGGTGCTAAATCTTGGAAATCTGAATAGATGATATCTGTTGTGCCTGCAAAAAGAAAAAACGAGTTAGCTAAATAATCTGCAAAAGTGTTGTCTTCCCTAAGGGTGTGCTCCACTCTTGCATCAACATTAATTCTCAGACCATTGTTTTTTCACCTTCACCCGACTACTCCAAGGAACCTCCCAAATTCCATTCAAAATCTTTTGGAGCATTAATGAGCCAGTCTCCAATATTACTGGTAAGTATTGATGCATTATACAATACTTCAGTCCTCTTCGCAAAGCCATTGCCTCAGGCATTAGAACTGAAGTTATTCCCAAACAAAAAGACTTAGCATGCATCAAATTTCCTTCATCATTTCTAATACAAAAGGCCCCAACACTAAGGCCACCAACTCCTTTTACTGAACCATCCGAATTACACTTGTAGGACCCTAATCTAGGCAGTCTCTAGTAAATCATCTTACGATCAATAAGGGGTGCATATTCAGTAAAAAAAGGAACCATCGGATGCCAAGTATTAGGAATGTTTTGCAACCAAGGATAGCTAAGAGTAGCTAGATGATATAATTTTTGTTGACCTTTATAACCATACCATAAAATGACATATTACCTCCATGAGAAATTATATTTCCCCTTTTCCAGAATTGCCAAGTGATAAATAACGAGACAGCCTTGAAGAGAGGTCTAAGCTTTGACGAGCAGTCCTTATTCCACCATTTATGTATAGTATCATTAAGGTGCAAAAAAAAAAAGTCCTTTCACATCAGTAATACAAGCAAACGTATTCCACAACTTCTTAGCCATAGAGCAAGTCATGAAAAGATGTTCAAAAGTTTCATGTTCTGAACTATTACAACAACAACACTTAACTTCATCCACCACTTTAATCTTGATAAGAACTTCCCCTATGAGTATTCTTTTTTTCCACAATCTCTAAAGAAAGAAAGAAAATTTGAAGGGAACTCCTTTCACCCATATCTTCTTAGCAATTTCTTGTTCATCATTTCCTTGTTTCAAAACCTTCCAAGCACTTTCAACCATAAATTTGAAGGGAACTCCTTCACCCAAATCTTCTTAGTAATTTCTTGTTCATCATTTCACTAAATTGTCTTAGATATATTTATACTTTTAAAGAATTACTCATTTATAATATTAGATTCATTGTATTAGGTTTAAGAAGGTCAACATATTTACATCCTTGAGCAGATTCACAAACCAAATCATTAAGCAGACTTTTAGATTCGTCAGGCTTATCCTTCATTCCAATGTCTTGGTTGCTAATGGGAATTGAATTGGAATTTGGTGGAGGGGGGAATTGAGTACTAGAATTGAGAGAGATTTGCTGGCCAGCCGCGGAAGCAGGCTGACCAGTGGCCAATATGGCCATGATCAATCAGAAATTTCTTGTAGCAGCGAGGGTTTTGCAGTCAAAACCCTATTGTAAAATTGAAGTTAAAATGAGGGATATAAAATTATCAAACAAACATTCATTTACAAATAATGTGTATCAAAATTTTAAAAAATTCGATGTAAATTTTAATTTATAAAATATCATGAAATAAACACGTTGAGAGAGACTAGTATTATATCATAAAAGCATGAACTCCATAAAATGAAAGTTAAATAATGCAAGCTTGTGAAAAACAATAACGTCAACAACTCTAATCATTTGCGTAAATACCTTATACCCCTAACCTAATAGAAACCCCTAACTAAAAACTTCATCACGCTACACTCCTTGCCGCGCTAACGCCCATTTCTGGACAGGTGCTAACGCCCATTTAATCTCCAACATGTCGCTTTTCTCCCACAAAACACTATATGCTTTGGCGAAATTGCTTGCCATTGTTTATGGATTTGCTTTTGACACCTTTCTTACAGTCTTACAGATACATTTAGCACTGCAAAAAGAAATAGATTATTGTTAGGATATACTACAATCTTAGCTGATATGTTAAGTCTTACAATATCTCTGGCAATAAATTTTTTACAAGTGAATCATTTTATTTGTTGTAGAATGATAAGTTTCGAAAGCAAATGAATGCTTACAAATAACAAGTTCAAACAAAATAATAGATATATCTATCTTCACCACCATATACAAGGACAAAAACTTGTCAAGAAGTATTTGAGAACATTGAGTCTGTAACCCAATAAAGAGAACTCCATACAAATATTGGATACAACACAAGTGTAACAACTAAGCACTCTCTTGGTGATGAAATATAATTTGAGGACTACGGGATAAACCAACAAAATATCACCACCCACCCTATTTAGCATGCCAGATTAATTACTGATATTGAGCACTCAACATAAAACTAAATAAAATGACATCATGAATCACAATATCAAGGGCAGGTAAGTTCCTCAATACAACAGAACTTCAATTACTCCAGAACTTTACCTCACTTTCTGTTAGAGCATCTACACCAAAGAGACTTAGAAGTAATTGTGTGGTAGATCCATTGTTAATGAGTGTCAGTAGTAACACACTTCCACCAGTGAGGAAAACGAACTGTACCATAAAGAAAAGAGTTACAGTTGCATGTCAAAGAAAGTTGATAGCTTAAGCTTCAACAGATGCCTAAAAACTACAAGTAAATTATGGCAATGGATCAACGACTTCCAAAAGCAGGGCAAATGAACTGTTGCTATATTGCAATTCTTCGTCAATAAAAACATACCATAGCTCCAGTCTCTGAGCTGAGATACTTTGGATCACCACTAGCATCCTGGAAATTAAGAGAGAAAACCATGTGTAGATGTTATTAAGTAAAAACAATTATATCATCCCTCTTCCCGCGCCTACATTGTGGATATGCTTGACAAATAAGTGAGAAAATGATCAGCTTCTTATGCTCTCAAACAATTATTTTAACCGCTTAGTCTGTCGCGTCAAATTAAATTGAAGCACTTCAATTCAATCTAGGAACAGAAAGCCTCCATTTTATTTTATTATTATTTTTATTTATTTACACTTTTATTTTATAGATTTATTTTGGGGGTTACCCACCAATAAAAGCAATCCGAAAAGTGCATCAGTACTTAATGGAGCAGAATACTGTACTGGTATCTACACGTCAAACACCTTATTAACTAAGGAATATATTTCATACCAGTACAAATCATACTAGATAAGCAAGTTATGTAAGTAAAAATAATTCTCAAGACAAAATGATATTCGGTGCACATTTGTATCCAATTGTGCTGATCCATTTCCTATCAGCCAGACACTTGTCAGCTTGGAACCCTTGGTGTAGAGTGTACACCCTGGTGTCTTCAATATAAAATGTAGAGAGATTGTTAAATGACTTCATGAGCCAACTCCCCAACTCCCAGATCCATGAAGACTTAGATTCCCTCCCATCAGAGTTGTGCAACAAAGAAACAAGGGGAAAAAAGGACCTCTTATGAACAAGAGGCACAACTCTCAAAGAGTAGGAGTTTGGCATTCCATGTTAATTAAGAAAGAAAAAGGACACATGCATGCATTGCGGTTAGAATCTGATTACATATAACCACTACTTGACTACCTACTGCATCAGCTTCTGTGAGCCATGTTTGCAATGGCAACAAACCACGCATGTGCATGTCTCGTCTCAAGAACAAGTCAATGCAAGGAATACAAAGCTTCATCCAAAACAATAGAATATAAATTAATAAAACAGCACACAATTATATATTGTCTTGAACTTAAACGAACAATCTTTCCAAAAGGTCACAATTGTTTTTTCTCCTTTTTACGCAACACTAGTATAGATGACCCACTTTCAATTCCTAATTTACTAGTAATAATGTCCAACATGACAAGAGCTATCAATGTAAAGCTAAAGCTTGAACCCGAGCCAACACGAATGTAGAGACTTCACATCTACTATATGTCCAAACCTCCCTTCGCCTACATAAAAGTAGAAGAGAGTTAGTAACTTGCAAATGCTGAAACTTAGTCATTAATCAATATAAAGTAAAAAGCAATGTATATCTCTCATTACCCTTGGCCTAACGATTGGGAAATCCAAAGAGTTATATAGATGAAGGCGATCCACCACCTTAACTTGAAAATATTCGTTCTCGCCATTCTTGACTGAAAGGGTAATATAGTACATGAAGTGTTTGATGCTATGTCCATTAACCTTGAGAATCTCATTAACCACATATGAAGTGCCCTAAAAGAAAACACAATCAGCTTTCTATAGATGAAAACTAGAAAGACAATGTGACTAGAGCATACCATTTTTTCATTGTAGTGCTCAATTGCCCGTCTAGCGAAATCCTTCATCTTTTCCATAAATTCAGGATGTTGTAAATAGCCTTGCATGGGAAACATGGAACTCATTGGAGCCGAACCAGGATAATCTTTGATGTCAAATCCCTATTAGAGACAAACATAAGTCGCTATTAAGAGTCGATAATCAGCTCAATCTTAATAATCACAGGAACAGAAGAGGAAATTTCGAAATCCAATCTTCAGGACTCTCCGAATTCAAATCATATGATGCTAGACATCCACACAACAAAAATTAAAATACTAGAGTTATCAGAAACTCTTTGCAATTTTAAGAGGGCTATCTATTGCTGTTTTTGCGATAGCAATAATTTTATCGCATTAAAAGAGCATCCGTATATCCGATGATAATTATCATAATTGGACTAACCCTAAACAATAATAGATAGTATAATAGTATAGTAGAGAAGAGGGAGAAATCGGTACCTCACTGTCATGGATTTGTTCAAAATACCTTATCCAGCAAGCTTTATCAACGACTGTATCACCACGAGAGTAAGGGCGATACCATAGTTTCTCCGTATCCCGTTCCGGCGTATCACATTCTGAAGAATTATCTTCGGACTCGCTGGATTCAGCATCTTCTTCATTCACCTTTTGTTTCAGCGAATCCAATTCCTCGTCATCCGAGTAAACAAATTTGTTGCCACCTCCGAATGTTACCAAAGCCTCCGGCAATGGCGGCGACGGCGATTCGTCGTCATCCGATTCTTCGTGCTCCGGCAATGGGACTGGCGGCATGACTACGGATTGATAGTTTATGATAGTCGGTAAGAAAGCAAAAACTCAATCACAGATAATTAATTGGGTAGGGCATCAATATTAGATTTTACGTTTTAATCCATTTAATTATTATTTTTATATTTTATAAATCTAATTTTCCATTACCTAAGACTTAATTCTAAGGAAAGTAGATATATTCAAAAAGTACAGATGATCTTTAATAAAAAAAATTATATTTATAGTTTGTGTAATTACTTATCAATTTTATGTTAAAGGGAATATAAACTCCCTTCATGTTAGCTTACGTTCATGGTTCTATCACGAAAATAGCCCTTTAATATATTTTAATCTATTCATATTAGCTAAAAGACATGTTTCTATTAAGAAAATATATTCTTTTTATAAATACTACTAACAAATAAAACAAAGAAAGAGATTATGAATAAACTATGTGTTTGTTAGCTTAAAGAATCTCTCCATAAGACACATGCAGCAAAAAAAAAATAAAGGAAAAAAATATTACAATCTCATACCCACAAAGTAAAGCAATTAAGGTAATTTATTGATAATAATTATAAGACATTTAAGATTAAATTTTTAGGCACATGAAAAATTATTGAGAAATAAAACAAAAGCAATTACGATAATTTATTGATAATAATTATAATAAATTAGACTCTGTGACTTTCTACTGCATTAATAAAAAATATATATAATATATAATAAAGACATTTAAGATTAAATTATTAGACATTTGATTAAGAAATAAAAGATAAAAAAAAAGTATTTTTTTCCTTCTTTTTACTTTCCTTCGTGTTGGGAGGTGAAAGGGTACCTTCAACTTATAAAGCATATTTGAAGAAGATTTTAGTTTAATATATGTAGAATAAATATGAGAAATTACTCTAGAACAATTCAAAAATTAACTGATGAAAGTAAATTAGCAAGAATTAAAGTACGGCAAAGGGCCAAATATACCCCTCTACTATAGGAAATAGTTTAAATGTACTCCTAACTAGTTATACTTTCGGGCTAATTAAATATACCCTCTCGTTATACTTTTGGGTTAAATATACCCTTATGACTAACAGAGGACACGTGGACGACTGAGACTAAATGAACTATTCAATTTAAAATAAAATAATTTCGAATATAACCCGCCCCGCCCCGCCCCAATAACTTAACTCGACCTAATATGTAACATTGACCCATCCAATATTGTCTTTCAAACAAGAAAACCTAATGGGTGATCCAAATAGGTCTGCGAACTTGGAACCACTACTTCGCCAAACTCTTGCTACATATAATTTTTAGCCAAACTCTTGCTACATTTTTTACCACTTGTTTATATATTTTGAGGTGAAATGTTGCTGCGTTAGTTAGTTAGCAGGTTCGACTGAGTAATCCTCTCCAATTGCCTCAGGGTTCCCTTGATACTCCTCATCTATTTCGAGTTTTTTGAGAACTCGTCTTGCCAAGAGAAGTCTGGTACGATATGCAGCACCATAATTTTGGGGTGTTGTACTTGTTTTTTGTCCAGATTAATTAGTTTGTTATTTACATTTCATTTTAGGAGTGGTGTACTGCTGCGTTGTTGCTATATTATTAAGTTCAAATTTTTGGGCTAATCTGTGGCTTCATGTTGATGAAAATAGTTGATGCACCTTAGCTATTAAACAAATGTTGCCAACACAACTATATCGTGCACAAGTATTACAACAAAGAACTATATGAACTCATATTTGCGAAGCAGAGGTTCCAAAGTCCGCAGACCTCTTTGGATTGCCCATTAGGTTTTCTTGTTTGAAAGACAAATTGGATGGGTCAATGTTACCTATTAGGCCGAGTTAAGTTATTGGGGCGGGGTGGGTCATATTCGAATTTGATTTATTTTAAATTGAATAGCTCATTTAATCTCAGCTATCCACGTGTCCTCTGCTAGTGATAAGGATATATTTAGCTCAAAAGTATAACGGAAGGGATATATTTAGCCCAAAAATATAACTAGGGGTATATTTAAACTATTTCCTATAGTAGAGGGGTATATTTGGCCCTTTGCCGTTGAAAGTATATACATTTTACTGTCAACTGCTATTAATAAATTTAAGTTAATTAAAATTTAACAGACTAAATCCCACAATTCAGGGGCTTTAATTCAAAGATCAAATCTCATAATTGCCGATATGAATCACCACCTTCGTGATAGATGCTCATATTTTATGTCAAATGAATGAAAAAATTATGTATTGGTAGCAGTATTATTTTGAGGATAGTAAATATTTTTCGTCTAGAAATAAATTGAGACACAAAAAAAAGGAAGAGATGTTGAAGAATAAACTGATCCAAATTAATATAAAAATATATCTGCAATAGATTATATATATATATATATATATCGTAAAGAGGTAAATTTAGCGACAAATACATGCTACCAGCAAAGCTCTTCATAAGGTTATTGGTATAAAAAAATATCTGCATAAATAGTTACACTATGATCAAATACAATCATCTAAAATGAGTAAATATAAAGTCTTTCGTTTTCTTGTAATTATGATTTTCGACACTGCAATTGTACTATAAGCCTAGATCGAAGTGAGACAATTGTGAGCTACTGGAAAAAAGATGCTAGCATGTTCCTACAAAATGAAGAACCAAGTTGAAGTGCTGTCTCATATATAGTAGAAATAATCATACCTTTATTGCAACTATGATTAGCTTTGATGTTTTCTAAAAGTGAACTTCCGATCCTCTCTTGAGCATAAGGCTGGGCACCGGAACGGGTTGTACCGGTACCATTCCGGTCCGTTCCGGTACCATTCCGGTCCGTTCCGGTCCGGTAGTATTCGGGACGGGATGGGATACATTGAACCGGTACACGGAACGGAACGGTACCATGATTTGGTACCGGTATTCCGGTACCGGTTCATCCCGATTCATTCCGGTTCCGTTCCGGTCCGGTCCCGGTAAATCATTTTTAATTAAAATAAAAAATAATATTTTTGTCATTATTTACTTTTATTAGCATTTCTTTTTGTTTATTTAATTTTTTTTAAATTACAAACTTAAGTTATTTAACTTACAAGTTATAAGTATAACTTAATAACTTATAAACTTCAAAAGATTCAAATCTTTAAAACTTATAACATAACTACATAAGCTCAAAAACTAAAAAAAAAAACTTTATTAAACTTAACTTACAAACTTATATACGTAAAAATTAAAAAAAAAATCTTTAAAATAAACTTAAGTAAAATTATTATAAATTTTAAAACTTAAATACTATAAACTAATATAACTTAGAAAAATAAAAAAAACATTCGAATTTTCGTAATTCAAAATAACTCAAAAAAAATAATTATTTTTTGAAATAGCTATATGTGCCGTCCCGTTTATCCCGTTCCGTTCCGGTCCGGTCCGTTCCGGTCCGGTCCGTCCCGGTCCGGTCCGTCCCGGTTTTATCCCGGTATATAGTGGGACGGGACGGAACTGAGCCTCTATCTCGGTAGTTCCGGTCCGGTTCATCCCGGTACCGGTCAACAACCCGGTCAAACCGTCCCGTTCCGGTCCGGTACCGGTTCGTTCCGGTCCGATGGTCCCATTCCGGTCCGGTGCCCAGCCTTACTTGAGCATGTGCTTCTCAAAATTAGTCTGCATATATAAATCAAACACAACAAATAGACATTAGAGAAACATATTGCGTTGACAATTGAGTATATCAAATTAAACACAAATTTAACATTCCTATTTTATTTTATTTTATTTGCAGCTTCTACAACTATGATTTTGCTAGATAATAATTCATATTTACTCATTTTCTCCTCGTGCCTATGCTGAACTGCACACATATTTATATAGTCGGAATTTTAAAATTGGAGAAAAGAACGTAAATTGGAATGATAAGAAACGGTAGAGTAATTAGTACTAATTACTATTAGACTTTAATTCCCATTAAGGTCATGAACGTGGGTGGGTAAAATAAAAAAATAAAAGATAAATGATGATTCTCCTTTTTATATATATAAAAATAGATGTTTTAAACTAAATAAAAAAGTAAAATAAATAGATAGATATATATAGATAGATATTTTAAATTAAATAAAGAAGGTAAAATAATAGTCCAACGGCGAACTCCGATGATCTCTACAACGAGATAGATGGCTTGACAATAATCCAACTGCAACAAGGTGGATGCTCGATAATAGTTCAACTGTAACGAGGTGGATGCTCGATAATAATCCAACTGTAACGAGGTCGATGACTCGATAATATTCTAACTGTAACGAGGTGGATGATTCAATAATATTCCAACTGTAACGAGGTGGATAACTCGATAATATTCCAACTATAACGAGGTGGAT